GACGCACGGTCACATGTGGCTTTATTATATCAAAGTATGAATTATAATTTAGATGTCCAAAATGTAAACAAAGAAATGTCTTGAAACGTCATTGTCAATGCAGGTGTCCTAAACCTTCTATTTTCAACGGCATTAGGAAAAGGAGGAGGTTCTTTTTTTTTTTATTTCAATTATCTATTACAAAATGTTAACTATTAACAAAAATTTTAACAACAACAACAACACACACGCACTATAGAGACAAAAATATTCGAGTTCGAGAAACGAAACACGAACGACATCTATGACACGACAAAATGGCGGCACAAAAATGTTTTTGATCCCGATTGTGTTACCAGTGTTATAAATTTATTTACGACTTTAGACATGGCCTTTAATTGTATTTATTGCATTGACTTACAAATAAATGGACGACGGGTCTAATACAAAAACCACGAAAAAAATGTCCCAAGTCAACCTATTCGAAATTTACATTGTAATGTCATCGTAGTATCGCGCTGTCAGTAGAACAAATGAAGACTAAAGCGGAGTTTGGCGCTCTGTATACGATTTTAGCGCCTTACAAGTGCGGAGACTTTTTAGCGCGGACCCGACGTCCATATAATTGTAAGTCAATGATTTATTGTATTAAACGAAATTAAGGAGCAATATATCTTGCAAAATGTGAAATAATATTTTAACTTACTTAATTTTAACTTTTAACTGCCTCCGTGGCCGAACGGTTACCATGCCGGACTGCCACGCAGAGGTCCCAGGTTCGATTCCCGGGCTGGGAGAAATATTTGTATGGCCTACATTTATTTCTCTCGTGAGTTTGGGTGTAATTTGTGGTTGTCTATGTGTGTGTCCATGGCACCCGCGACACAGGGTTTCCCTAGTGCGGGGCTATGTTGAGTGTGAGCGTTATTATTAATATAAATTTCATCAGAATACAGCTTAATTTTTAGCTTTGCTGGGTTATAATCTTTGTTAACATATTGGAAATTGTGATTTATACTATAGGCGATTTTAGATCCGAAAAAAATTATTTTATTTTCAATTTTTCTAATTATTTAAAAACCATTCTGTATCGGTAAAGAACACTGTTCATTTCACTGCCACTTTAAGGCATTTATTTATTATTTGAATAAGAGTAAATAATTGTAAATCTTTATTATCTCTCACAAAGTTTTAGAATATATTACAGTAGTGACTTTCTTTGGTAATTTCGCCTTATATAAGGCAGCTCTGATGTTTTAGGTTCAGTCAGTTAGGTTTATTTATTTCTCGATGCTCTCCCATCCTTCTTACATCTTCTTTGATTCTTTACGTAGTTTTTTGTTTAATTTCTGCATTGTTGTAAGGTCGGTCTAATTATTCGGTCAGACACAATAAAAAAATAATCGCCTCGTTATATTTCCAATAAAAGTTTTTAAAAATCAACTTTCACAAAAAAACTTAATAGAAATGGTGACAAAGTATTTTTTTTTCGCCAAATCGTAAAAATGACGATTGTTTATTTAAACCAAGGTGAACGCATTGTCGGTTTTCTTTGATTGCTCCGTGGGCGGTCATATTGTGTACAATTCTCTGCACCGGCGTATATGACGAAGCAATAACGTATTAACAAAAAGGTCGTCCACTTCTTCAATTTATTAAAAAGCACTACCGGATATTGCATATGACGATGAGAAGGCTGCAAAAATCAGGACACGAGGAAATTACAGATTGACTAATGATGCTTTGAAAGTGATGTGACATAGTTCGGCATTTTTGACGGTTAGGAAATTGCGAGTTTAGCAAATGCATTGTATAGAAAATGCTTCTAGAAATATATAAATAAACTCTGATTTCTAGTATTTGTATACAATGAAAGCAATCCTAGCCATGATAATAGAGGAAATAAGTATTTTGTCGAGGTATAGGAGTATATTTGCTTGTTTAATACGGTAAAGTCATGGCTACACAAATCACTCTTGAAATAACATTATCATCAGAATCCTTTACAACCCACTTACCGTAATATAAAAATAAACTGATTAAACTGATGATAAGACTGAATAAATTATTCGAACTGGTTTATTTGGCACTTTGTCAATCTATTCTATCATATAGTATATCGACTTGGAGAGGACCTGCAGAAACCCATATATTGCAATTGGAGAGTGTACAAAGACTAATTTTAAAAATAAACCTCTTTAAACCACGCCTATTCTCCACGATTAGCCTATTCCACGACGTCAAGGTACCTACTTACAGTTCGCCAATTATATATTCTGTCCATTTTATTAAGACAACATGAGCAAATAAAATTCAATCCTGAATACTCCAACGCTCACAAGAGAAGGAATTACATTGTCTGCCACACTAAATTACTTAAGACGTCCTTTGCACACAGGTTTTTTTAAATTCCCTCCAATGCAAAATAGACCTAAGTAAAGAATACTAGAATACATGGAGACCAGAAGTCCTAACAAACAGGGCTTTCCTAGTTTAGGCTTCAAGTCTCTCACATACATTAACTTGTTAATTCCTGTTGTAAAATAGTTTTCAATCGACATTTGTGAGAGAAAAATAAGCAGCTAATATTATTATTACTGAACAGAAAATACGAAAAAGTTAGAAAGTTTTAAAATATACCGTTTGTAAAAATAAAAATTGCATACGCCGAAAACAACTATTAAAATTGTTTAAGGTTTGTGAAAATGTATCAAAATCAGAACAGATATCATTGTATTAGCGGCACATCCTGTGTAATGAATGTATTTGATGGTAGTACGGGTAAATACTAAAGGACGACGACGCATTGAACTGAATGAAAAATTAAATAAAACATGTCCACCCAATGCCATTATAAACTTTGCCTAACCCAAGTTTTGGTCGTCTTACGACTTAACGCTGAATAAGTTGACGTAGAATCATCAGTCATCGATTTTATATTTTAGTGAATCGAATGATGATGACGATGAAGTCAAAGTGCCTAGTGCGGATGGATGACCTCACACAGTTTCTTCGATTTAATTAAGGTGTCTCCTTTTTCTTACTCTTGTTGTTTGATTTCCGCTTTGGGCAACGTGGTAGACTAGTCCTTAGACCATTTCTTATAAGAGTCTCCTGCTCAACAATAGGTTTCATGATGATGACGATAACTTCGAAGAATGAAACTTGCGCCTGCATTTTTCAAGTTTGCTATATTAGTCTGTATGTTGTCCGTTAGTAGCCGTAGGGCTCCTTCCCAAAGAATTCGTCCAAAGAAGTACTGCCACCGCCAAGCGGTAATATAACTATTACCGTAAGGGTGCAGGTGAAATTACAGGAACATGAGACTTGTCAACCTATATCCCATATCGGCCGCAGTGGTAATAGTACCAGCTGATCCTTGTGAAAGAGTTTGTCCAGGGAAGTACTGCCACCTTACCTATTTGCGCCAAGCAGTAATGTGAGCATTTTGTGTTCCAGTTTAAAAGGGTAAGGGTGCTGGTGAAATTACAGGCACTTGGGACTTGTCAACTTATATCTCAGGGTGACGGGCGTAACGGCAGATCTTTGCGATTTAAAGCTTTGAATCGCACTGTAACTGTTATTTATAGACGTGTCGCTTACCACCACGCGCACGACTTGGTTTTTTTTTTTTAAATGCTCCTCAGATCTTTATGATTAACGATTGGTAGCACTGTATCTGTTATGGACAGGCAAACATCGCGCAACATGTTTGTCCCATTACTTTTTTGTTCTGTATATCTATAACGAATTCGAAAGAATGGACAAACGCGTCTCTAAACTTAAACGTTAGAAAATTACTATTAGCTATTTACTGAGATACAAACTGGGTCGACCACGTCTAAACAAGTTCCTGTAAATTCAATATTCGGGCGATACCCATTAAGAAAGTGGAATAAGCACACCCTTTTTGTAATCTGTTACGAAGTATAATGTTATCATTGTTATGAATCTATTGGTGGAGCAGCATAGCTTTCTAGGTTACAGTAAGGCTATACAAAGAGTGCAAATTTCTTTTATTTTTCGATTACATAAAAGAGATTATATTTCATCGTATCTAGTCGATAACAAACAGCTTAATATGACTAATTCTAGAGTACTAAAATTAGCCTACTTTGTACAATCTTTACATAAGTTTAAGGGTCTGATTTACCTCTATGAGAAACTGGTACCGAAAAACTGTCTTTCTTTTTTGCGAGATCGGGGTCATATTTACAAGCTACCAGTCTATACTTTCGTCGGGACTTCGGGTTGTTTTAAATACGATTTTCCCCCGCCTGTACGTATATACATTCCGTAAGAAATTTTTTAATTGGTTATTGTTGTGTAGGCATTGTAGTGTAGTTGCGTGTGGATAGTGCTCTGTGTGCAATAGTAACGAAAAAATATATATCACGATTCACGTGTGTGGTAAGTATTTAATAATCCGTTTGAAATCTTAGAACTAGAATGATAATGTGTGTTAGTTCTTCTTCTTGTTATGAACTACTATGTTCAGCCTACTGGCTGTAGCAGAATATCACCGGCGTTGTGAAAAATTCCGCCATTGTGTTGAGCTACAGATCTTTTTATCTCACATCACTATTGTTACTAAACACTGTGTAGAGCTTATTTATTTTTACTCATTAATGTGTTGAGATAAATAGACGATTATTATTATTTTGTGACTTTTGTACATAACATGCTAAGTGCGCATTTCACCTCCATCTCACCTGATGGAAAGTGACGATGAGATCGACGTAATTGAATACGATTGCACTTAAATTAAGAACTCAGTGTTCACAAAGTTGATGCAAATATACTGCTAAAGTATTTTTTTATACTGCAATAGTAATTTTGCTTTTCATCATATAAATAAATATTAGACAACATTACCTACGTTGCTCTGATTCCAAAGTAAGTAGCTAAAGCACTTGTGTTATGGAAATTGGAAACAACGACGGTACCACAAACACCCAGACCCGAGGCAATATATATAAGTTACTTTGTACACTGACCCGGCCGGGGATCGAACCCGGGACCTCGAAGATAGCGACACCACGAAAACCGGCGTGCAAGCCACTCGACTACGGAGGCCGTCATTGTCATTGTCGTTATATATGGCTGGAAATTATATAACAGTTGATAACAAACAACTCATTTCATATGAGTTACTATGAATCCGCGCCGTTTTTTCGGGCGGCGGCGGCGGCGTGGAGACCCGCGCCACCACACCGTATGGCGTTGAGGCTAGCGGCATACCCAAGAGCGTCTTGAATTTCATTTAGCCATTTAAATTAGGCAAATATTAAACTTAACATTAAACTTGTAATATCACAGACCACTTAGATGTAATATAATATAAAAAACTAAACTAATTACAAGAAATTGCACTTATCGGTAACTTCGGAATCGTCGGTATTCGACGTTCTTCGGCTGAAACTCCTTCTTCATGAAGGTTAACAGATAAACGGTCGGCACTCTAATCTTTAAGTATTTTATACTCCACTATCTTCTCAGACTTCCTGAAGTAATGCAGTCGTGATAAGTGTAGGTATATTTCGTCGTAGTAGAACTCCTTGTGAAAGAGTTCGTCCAGGGAAGTGCTGTCACCTTACCTATTTCTGACGCCAAGCAGTATTGTACTGTTTATATTTCGTTTTAATGTTATTTTATTTCTTACGACTTTTAACTCTCAATTTAATAATTTTAACTTATTTTTATTATTATTTATTTTTAAATTGGTATTTTTATTTCTCTTTCTAAATTTACATATGTTGATTGATGTGTTGTAAGCCATGAATAAATCTTTTTCTATTCTATCCTTCTATTGTAATGTCAGCATTACTATTTATTAATAGAAGAGAGACAGAAAAAATTCCTTCGTCTGCATTACTGTTTTCCGGTTTTGAAGAGTAAGGGGGCTGGTGAAATTACAGGTACTTACATGAGACTTGTCAACTTATGTTCCAGACTGGCGGGCGCAGTGCCAGTGCCCCACTTACCTTTGCAATTTCAAGCTCTGAGTGGCACTGCAACTGTCATAGACAGGCGTGTACCTTATCATCAGGCACACGACTTGTTCGTCCCGTCACTTGATATGATACTGAAGAAGTATCGTCGTATCTTATAGTCGCACGCAGCAGATAGTTCGGTCCTGTTAGTGAAAAATATATATATAAAAAAAGGACACTTTAAAATCTTTTAAACTATTTTTGATTACCATCCCAAAAACGAGTGATCGTTCATATTAGTCTTAATAAAACAATGGATAATTAATAAATGCGTTGTTGATTTTTTTTTGCATTATTCGATATTAGGTACACCATCAACTAAGCTTACATTTTTGCAACAACTGCGTGTTCCTCTTAGGCACCAATCACAAAGAAATCGTAGTCACGATAGCAAACCGCACCTGCTCGTTAATTGCAAATACTAAAGTATGGAAACGCGCGAAAATACATTTTTTCTTACATATTTTGTTTCGCTCTAAGGAAGCGGTTACATTAGTCATAATTAGAATAGTTTCGTCAAAAACGTAAACAATTTCAAAAGTTATAATGCCTGAATGCGTGGGTGTGAACCCTTGAACTTTCAACTCAGTGCTATTTGATCATGATCGTTAGAACTAATTTAAAGGTACGATTTGGTTAATCACACGAGGGTTTGCTAACGGTTTCGTTACGGGTCAAGTTGGAAGTGATCGCTTTATAAAGACAGTTGCGTGAATATTGTAAGGGTTTTTCTCAAAACGTTTGAGAGTTGCAAGTGAAGAGTAAATTTTTTTTTAAAGTTTTTTATCATGGTGTGACTTATCGTTTTCCTCCCGATTCAGTAAAAGAAATTGTGTTTATGCAAAAATTGTGAGTTATTAAAAAAATTGAGTAATCAAATGAAAGATAATAATTATAACGCATACTCAACATAGCCCGGGCACTAAGGAAACCCTGTGTCGCGCTCAAACCTACTATAGAAATAAATGAAGAGCTAGAATACAAAGTAGAATAATAATACTTCATTTGTAAGGATCTCGCAACACAATCCTAGTTAAATCTATACCACAAGTAAGGGACTAGGCTATTTATCAACACGAAACTTTCAAGTGAGGTTTCGGTAAGCGTGACTGTAACTACTGGTTTGTGACTTAAGTGCTTACTATTCAAAGTTCTTGGTAATGGATAATCGTGTTGTATATTTTAATGGAATTTAGTATGGCTGAAAC